TGCGAGGGCAGTGTGGGCCGTGGAGGCGAGCTTGGCGGGTATTGGTTTGTGGTCCAGGCACTGGTTCGTCAGTCTCCGTGGGATGAATTCGCAAGTGACCGATCAGGCGGATGAATGTGCGGTCGCAGTGAGAGCAGGTGAAGTCCTGTTCCTCACCCCTGGAGTCGGAGGTTGGCGGGATGATGTCTGTTGTTGTGTCATTGATGTGTGGGATGCTGGTGTGATTGAAGGCCTCAAGCGCAGCCGTGGTTGGTGCAGTGGGACAGGAGGAGGAGCAAGAGGCAGGGAAGGGGAGGAGAAGAAGGAGGAGAAAGGAGGAGGAGGAGGAGGAGGAGGAGGAGGGGGAAGACGGAATTGATGGTTCAGAAAAATTGTCAGAGTCAGTTGGTTGCGGAGAGGACGAGGCACAGGCGGGCAGAGGGGCGGCGGTTGGTGCGGTATGGGAGGTGCAGTTGGTCCGAAGATTTTCAGTGAGTCCAGTTCGTGCCCGACGTGCCTGTTGACGCCGAGGACACTTTGGAAGCGTTGGTGCGTCGGCGTTGCTGACGGGGCGTAGTTGTAATTTGCCTGATTCGCGTTTCACTGTGGCAGCGGCGATTCTGTTGGCCTCATAGATCACAGTGCCTGTCTTCACTTTCCTTCTCCAGGTCGGTCGGGCGAGGACGAGCTCTTCCCAGTTGATCGGGTTGATTTGCGGCTGCTTCAAGCAGGACTTCAGAGTATCCTTGTATCGACGAATTTGGTCTCCTTGGCGGCGAGAGCCCGTCGCGACGTCTCCGTATAACAGTCGTTGGGGTAGTCGCTCGTCGTCCATGCGCACCAGGTGGCCGCCCCAGCGCATCTGCATTTGTCTCAGCATGGTGTAGATGCTGACGATTCCCGTTCGTTCGAGCACATCAGTGTCGGGGATTCGATCCTGCCAGTTCAGCCTCAGGATGCGACGGAAACAACTGAGGTGAAAGTGGTTCAGTCGACGAGCCTGCTTTGTGTATACTGTCAAAGTCTCCGCTCCGTACAGCAGCGTCGGCAGGATGACGGCCTTGTACATCTTCAGCTTCGTGCTCAGTTGGAGACCTTGATGATTCCAGACTGTGCTTTGGAGGCGACCGAAGACTTGACTGGCTTTCGAGATCCTGCGAGCGACTTCGTCATCGATTTTGGTGTTAAGGGAGAGGGTGATGACCAAGTGCGGGAAGTTCCCCACCACTTGCATTTGGGTTCCGTTCACACTGATTTGCGGCGCGTTGGGAGGAGTGGCTGGGTTGGGTGGCGGTTGATGCATGACCAACGTCTTCTGAGTGTTAATGACCAGACCGAAGTTCTCGCTGGCGACAGAGAAGAGGTCTATGCTCCGTTGCATCTCCTCTTCCGAGATGGTGTTCAGAGCGCAGTCATCGGCGAAGAGAAGTTCGCGAACGGTGGTTGTAGATACGCGCGATTGGAAGTGCATCCGCCGTTGATTCAGAAGATAGCCGTCCGTCCTGTAGGCGATGCGGATCCCAGGACGTTCATCACTGTAGGCGTCCATCAGCATGGCAGAGAACATAAGACTGAAGAGGGTAGGCGCCAGCACGCATCCCTGCTACACTCCGTTGGTCACTGCGAATGCCTCTGAGACAGCTCCGTTGTCCGTGACTCGCGCCATCATACCGTCGTTCAGCTGACGCATCATCTGAATGAATCGCTCCAGACAGCCGAATTGCTGCATGATCTTCCACAGTCCTTCACGATTCACCGTGTCGAAGGCTTTCGTCAGGTCAACGTAGGTAGAGCACAGGTGGGTCCGCATCTCCCGGCACTTCTCCTGAAGTTGGCGGGCGGAAAAGATCATATCCGTGGTCCCGCGATGACGACGGAAGCCGCATTGGCTTTCCGGCATAAGGATCTGTTCCAGATGATTATTCAGACGATTGAGGAGGATGCGAGCGAAGATCTCCCCGGCGATGTTCATCCAGGAGATGCCACCGTGATTGCTGCAGACTTGGCGGTTCCCTTTTCGCTTGTAGAGATGCACGATGGTTACGTCTTTGAAATCTTGCGGAACTTCACCTTGCCGCCATATCTCCTGGAAGAGCTCAGTCAGGTGATCCATCAGTTGGGGACCTCCGTGCTTGTAGACCTCAGCAGGGATTGCGTCCGATCCGGGGGCTTACCCGCTAGAGAGCTGCTACAGGGCCCTGATGATTTCCTTGAGAGACGGCGGGAGGTCGAGGTCCACCTTGGTCTCGACCTGCGGCAAACGGTCGATGGCGGAGGGGCGATTGAGGACGCCTCGGAAATGCTCGGTCCATCTCTGTAGACTTTGTGTCTTCTCAGTCAGGAGAGTGCTACCGTCGGCGCTGAGGAGAGGAGCAGTGCCCTTCGTCGGCTGACCGCAGACAGCATTGATCGTGGAGAAGAAGAAGTTCTTCCACTCGTTGCTGTCCGCGTATCCTTGAATCTCCTCAGCTGTGCGAGCAGTCTAGGCGTTCTGCATCTCGCGCAGTCGTTGCTGAAGTTGGCGGCGACTGCTATAAAAAGCAGCTTTGTTGTCGTCAGTGGGGTGGTCTACGTAGGCTTTGTGTTGGCGGTCATTCTCGGAGAGCAGATTGATAATGGCGACGTCGTTGTCGTCGAACCAGTCCTGGTGTTGGCGGCGTGCGCGACCGAGGACTGTTAGTGCCATGGACTGGACCGTGTCTCTCAGTTGACACCAGCAGTTCTCTACGGAAGCGTTCTCGGCAGCGACAGCATCGGCGGCGGCAGCGATTGGAGGGGTGTCTAGCCGTTGAGCTAGCTCATTGCTGAAATGTAGATGGTGAGCGGGCAAATACAACAAGGCAATATTCAGCTTACCTGGGGGTCGCTTTCGTTGTGGCCTCCTACGAGGCTGTAGGCTAATACGCATATTTGAGATGACGAGGCGATCGTTGGTCCACACATCAGAACCCGCGATCGCCTTTGTCACCAGCACGTCCAACTGGTCTCGCCTCCGGACGAGGACATAGTCCAGCAGGTGCCACTGACGCGACCGAGGATGCCTCCAGGTGGCCTGCTCTCGCTCCGACACACAGAAGAATGTGGTAGTCAGGATGAGGCGGTGTTCTGCGCAGGTGCGGAGGAGCAGCAGGACATTGTCGTTTGAGCCGCGGAGACCATGGGGACCCAGCACTCCTCTCCAGGCAGCATGGTCTGTGCCGACGCGGGCGTTGAAGTCACCAAGGACAACGAACTTGTCCGCCTTCGACCCAGTCGCCAAGAGGGCGTGTAGGTCCTCGTAGAATTTGTCTCTGACGGCGTCGGGGTTCGTCATCGTCGGAGCGTAGGCGCTGATGATAGTGGCGAATTTGCCTCCCAAGTGAGGCAGGCGGAGGCTCATCAGGCGATCGTTGATGCCCTGCGGCAAACAGAGCAGTCGTCCTACGATGTCGTTCCGAATGGCGAAGGCGACGCCCGCGTCTCGTCGCTCTGCCCTGGGGCGACCATTGAAGAAGAAGGTGCAACCAACACCCACCTCCTCCAATTGATCTTGTTCGGAGAATCGAGTCCTGCTGAGTGCGGCGTTGTCCACCTTGTAGCGCGTCAGTTCCCGGGCCACTAGCGCCGTCCTCCTTTCCGGTTGGTTGGACTTCGGATTGTCTGAAAGGGAACGAACATTCCAGGCTGACAGAGTGAGTGGACTCACCCTGCCAGTCTGGCCACGAGTGGGTCGGCGTGAAGGAGGTGGAGAAGAAGATGGCGAACGAGAAGAATAGGCAGAAGAATAGACTGGAAAAGGAGGAAGAGGTAGAATGAGGAGAGCGAGTAGTGCTGTTGTTGTTATTTCGAATTTGGTTGTTTCGACCGTGCGTTTTGCGTCTGCGACAATGGTCAGCCTGCAGACGACGTGGTTCCCCAGCAATATTTAGGCCAGCTTTCCCAGGTCCCCTCCGAAGAGCAGCAGTGTCCGTCCGTAAATAGGGCTGCTTGATGTTCCGGCGCAGCCGAACTCCACTGTGGGTCACGAGATTTTCTTGGCAGTGGAAGAACGACTCGAATTTGCCAATGGCTTACGACATTACCGTAAGCCCGCGGTCTCCTACGGTGCACCAGATGGGCGCGTGTCCACGATGCCGATTCGAAGACCATACCACCGGCTGACGAGCGGCGAATGAGGGTCGTCGCCATCGATAAGTGTTCTTTGACGATGTACCCCAGGTGTGCGGCTGTACATCGCACCAGTCCCTAGCTTCCTCCTACCATGCAGATATCGTCGACAGTTGGCTCACACATCTTTTCTTGAGATAGGACCTGAATTTTCTTGCTTGATAACCCATTGCAGATTCAGGCCTGGTTGACTGGACATTGTCTATCCATCGGTGCCACGTTATTCAAGGAGGTGGGAGTGCGGTAGTTGCTTCACACACCGTCCTACTACAAGCTAATTCACACACAGTTCACTGGTGTTAGACTCACTCAAAGGCACACTCGGAGGACGAGGCCAATTGAAACGGTTGGACAATCGGCATCAAGTAAATCCCAAATCACGGAAGGAGTGTCCAAGATTTTTTGCTACATCACACAGTCTTGTATCTAAGCGGCGGATTATCTTTGCTGTAAATGTCCGTAATTATGAGACTTCTACTAGGTGATCACAGAAGTATTCGTCTAGTTCTTTATCCTCGACTGCTACTATTCTGTTCTAAAATTGTATATACTTAATCTACCTTCGGTGAAATGTTCTGTGAGCAGTCGGAACCTCCTTGTTGAGAGACGTAAGTTTGTGAGAATTTGCTTTGGAGCCACTGAATGGCAATTAACTCGGAAACGGCAAACGCAGCTGAAAATACGGGTTGCCGATGCAGCTCGCCTCCACTGTCCACACTGCCCTTGCACATTCACGCATCGCATGGGTCTACTCGGCCACATTCGCATCCACGACGACCTGCGGTACACAACCGCCGGCTATACCACACCATAACACCCGCCCTCCCTGCCTCCAACACCACGAGCGACGACCACCACCGCCACCACCACCACACATCAACACCCACACACTGTAAGCACCAAAATGCCACCTCCCACGCAAGTGGGAAGTGTGCATCTCGACTCGGTCCCCATGCGGCTTTGGCTGCACGGGCGACTTGAGTCCGAGACTATCCCGAAACATTGAGCGCCGTGGATAGGATGTTGCTGATTGATGCCCCCACTCGGTCCACGCAGTTTGTCCCGTTGTGTGTATGTTGTGTGTAGTGGCGGACTTGTGGGCTGAGGAGGGGCTGAAACAGCACGTACCACGGCCCTCTCACGCAAGTGAGAGACACGCCGTTCAACCCACGTTGTGCGAAATCCTGGACTGTGTGTGTGTGCCCTCGAAACGGTCCACGTTTTAGATGCGCTGGACCAATACGGGGGCCACATCGGACTCTGGCAGGCGTTATCTGTGCGCAATAAAAACTGCCAACATTCCCGTGGTGCGCTGGCGGACCCTGTTGTCGGCATTCGTCGCTCAAATGGACCACTGCCGCCACCCCATTGATTTGTGGTCAAATCCTGGTCAGTGGTGTGTGACCAGGGGGTGCGGAGTGGAGCACCAAGGCGCGGATCCGTCCGAGCCATCCACCTGCGGCCTCCCCCGTCTCCGGTCTTCTTGACTCTGTCTTGACACCGGGCCCAGGCGGGGGAGGAGGAGAGAGTGTAAATAGATGCTACGCAAGTCTACTGGCATTATAAACCCCTGCGTAAGTCACCGTCCCTGCTCCCACAATGCAGTCTGTGGGGCACACGGTGGACATCATCGAAATCGACGGTCGAACTGTCGTGTGTATGCGGGGCCGGATCGTGCACGTGGCGCGCGTAGTCATGGTCAGTCAACCATGCCAGCCACCGCGCCCATTTCT